TCTCAAACTAATTAAACAATTTTCGTTTCAATAAATAATTATTGGCTCTCGTTCCTCAATTAAGAGTAATAGATCAATGGACAACTTATACAGCTTAATAGAGCCGTTTATTGGTGTGTCGGTCAAATAATTAATATTTTAAAATGAAAGAAAGTAAAGTTTCGATTTCAAAGGGAATTTATTATTATTCCATGGAGTGGGAATTATTGTTCTAATAACCTGAACAATATTTTATAAAATGAACAATATTTACTACATATACAACATTAACAACATGAACAACATTAATAACACTAATAACATGAGAATTCGACAATGGAATAAGGGTCGCTTATGTACCTTTAGTATTAGCGACACTCAAAAATTCTTGTAAAATGCGGCTCGCATACTGTTATGCCGGGCCGTGAACACGGTAACGATGGCCGGTGAAGAGCTCTTGTTGTCGCGCGAAGTCTTCTCGTTGCTTGTCGCTGAAGACTCGCGCGTAGCTCTTTTTCTTTCCTTGATGATGTCATCGACCGAGTCGTTTACCGCTGGGCATGATGACGACATCGACGCGTTTGGCATCGGCCCATTTTCGCTTCCGACTCCATAGGTTTGTTAGATCTTTTTCGCGGGTAAGAAAGACATGGAAGTGCGGATTCACGGATGGGCGGCGTGACATTTTATAACCTTTTAGTATTTTTATTAAACGCAATGTTAGAAACGTTCTGGCAAGTTCGATTACAAAATGTGTATAATCACATACTATCTCTTTCTTCGAAAATCTTTATACCTGTAATGGGGTTACACAAGTATGGATTCTTTGTTTATTGGTTAGACTCTTACTGAACGTCATTATGGCAAACATAGTCCAACCTCTTTCCGTTCCGTCCACTTACAAGGACCAACAATATCAAGTATGAATACCTTAACAAAAACATTGAGAAGCTTAGTTATAACAATGTTACTTGCAAGTTACTAACTCCATTCCTGCATATATAACCAGGGAACTTCGACTGACTTGGCAAAAGACCTCTCAAACAGTAGTACTCTTTATGTAGGCAATTTATCCTTCTACACAACGGAAGAGCAAATATATGAATTATTCTCTAAATGTGGAGAAATAAAGCGTATTATAATGGGATTAGACAAGTTCCAAAAGACACCTTGCGGATTTTGTTTCGTCGAGTAAGCATATATTTGCATATAATTAAAACCGTTCCTTACGTTGCTATCTATTAATCATGGGATGTTTACGTTACAGATATTATAGGCATCAAGATGCATTAGATTGCATGAAATATATAAACAGCACAAAGCTAGATGAACGCATTATTAGAACGGATTTAGATCCAGGCTATAGGGACGGACGTCAATACGGGAGAGGACGTTCTGGTGGTCAGGTCAGCTACACACCGAAAGCCTCCAAATTCACGCATTTTCATATCCTATAAATTCTTAGTTAAATTCTTACTGATAAGCAGGTGCGTGATGAATATCGTCAAGATTTCGACTCTGGCCGTGGCGGATGGGGTCATCTGCGCGCTAAGCAAGAAGCCGAGCGTGCTAGGAGACAGAAAGCTGAATATGAGGCTATAACTACCATTCCTGCTGGTGCCGGTGAATACAAGGGAAAACGTAAGCCACAAGAAAGCTCGAACGTGTAATAATACTAAAGTTAAGCGATCATTAATCATTTATCTATGAATCGACTTTTGAATCGTACAGTGTCATCTCAGAAGAAGAGAGATAGGACAGAGGGTGAAGATCGAGAATCTCAAGGACGTGAGAAGGTATGGTATCGCTAAGTTAATGCAGTCATACAAGTGTAACAAAATCTTTTGTTTCTTGATCCATAGAATCCGCGATTCAGGGAAGGTCGCTCAGATGATGAGGATGAGATGCAGACAGACATTTAGAAAGTATATTAAAATGGCCATGTAAGTGCTAATGTCTTCTATAAGCTTCAATATATTTCCAAGGTACGTAGGTGCTCAAGAGTCGTTGAATCAACAAGACAGAAATTTGCATCTTAGATTGCAAATAAATGCGATGAAAGCAATCCTACTTAGTCTATTCAAATAGAATTTACTGAATGTGATAGTGAATTCATAGCCTGACATAATCATATAGAAGTCTTGTATATAAAGAATGTGATATATATTCAGGTTTCAAAGATCCCCTTTGGTTGTGTCGTGAGCCCATCCATTATTCGGTAGTTTTCGAAAAGAAGTCAATTACAAATGGCGCTTTACATGTTTAATAATAAAGCAAATTAATTTAGATATGTTATACACTGTTACATACTAGAGAAGTGTTTGCATTTCCGGTAAGGTGAAATTTCAATTCTCTGCCCACATACCAATCCTTATCAGCGCAACATATACAAAGAATGAACTAAACCCCCTCATACGTGCTTGTCGCTGCAGTTCCTTCTGTTCTTCTGTTGGTTTTGCCTGAGGCATAAACATTTTCAAAAGCTACAGGTATGCGAGATAAAGGCTTTACTTGGTAAACTGTTGCGACCAAGACGGCTGCATTCTTATTTTAGGCTGAATAGTAAACCGTAATGGAACTGCTACCTGATTCTATTCGGCGTCTTGGTAATTAATGTAGTTGTCAAGTAAAAATGCTGCGAATGCGGATTTTGCATAGCCTTAAAATATATCAAGTTAAAAAATTTTTTTTAACTTGCAGCTACACGTGATATGCGTAACTTGGCGAAAATAAGTAATATAATACGCTCCATATCATCACATTGTTGTGTATAGTGTTCGTGCATTACAATTATACGGCTTATATTAACTAGTACTACTAAAGTTTTCTGAAATCGAGTCAAGTGGACCGAGTCTGTAGTAGCAATTGGGACGGCGAGTCTATCACATGATAAGATCTTTCTTTGATGCTCTGGAAGGACAACCAGTTGCCGTGAAATCAGATTGGATTCACTATAAATATTTGATCCTAGAATCCTAATCTCCACATGGGATAATATATTTTTTAATTAGACCGTTCCTTAAAACTGAGCATAGTAAGAACGTGCAGTAAATGAAATAGTTATCGAGGTGAAATTCTTGTTCGTTAGATTCATAAAAATGCCAATAATTTCCTGGGAGAAAGTTTGATCGATAGTCTGCATTTGCCCCCCCCTTTCCGAATAGTATTCTGTATGAAAAATAAGAGCATTATTTGTTTGTTATAGCAAGTGCGCACTTGTTTTTTGTTGATCCAAATGGAACTTGACCCGGGTCAACCCAATTCGGAATCAGCACATGTTGATATCTATTTCCCGTAAATTTATGCAGGAGAAGTTGTACAAAAGCTGTTTATTGCAAAGAGTAAAAACGATATCACGTCTGGTTAATATTAATATCAGGAAATTATAAACATCATGTATTACAATTTATTAAAAAATTGCCAACCAACCTATGTATTGAAACCTAAGATCTCAATGACAATTGTTTGGTTTGTCGTTTTTATATCGCTCAGCAACCTTCAAGTTCATTTGACTCATCATACCCCTACCAGTTTCTTAAAGAATAACGAAATATATTTATTCATTGATGAAATCACTGATCGATATGATCAGGTCATCGTTGATGTACTGTCAATTATGCTCACGATTCGCTTGATGGGATCGATCATGCTGTGTTAAATGTTCCATGTGATTAGACCATATGGTGCTAATCGAATTAATTGTGAAGAACAATACAGTGGTGAATCTCAGAGTTGGAAAGTATTCTTTTTAAGAACAGGTGAGGGTATGATGAGTCAAATGAACTTGAAGGTTGCTGAGCATTATAAACAAGCGATTGTCATTGAGATCTTAGGTTTCAATACATAGGTTGGTTAGCAATTTTTTAATAAATAGTAATACATTATGTTTATTTTTTATTATAGCTTACTTAAGCGCATGTTGAATGCTAAAAAATTTTATTTTTATTGTTATTAACAGATGTGATATCGTTTTCACTTTTTGTACAACTTCTCCTGCATAAATTTACGGGACATCATCGAAATAGATATCACCATGTGCTGGTTCCGACCCAGTTCAGAACTGGATCAAGTCCCATTTTGAATCAGAACAGTTTTCGATGCAATTGCTCGTTACAAAAACTCCGATAATTTAAAAAGTGCTCCAAGAAACAGTATAATTAACCATAAAAAAATATTGAAGATATTATTCATAAGGACAACAAGTGCTCTGCAGATAAAATTTTCGAGGAATGTATGTCTGATAATGTGTGGTTAATACTAACCCAATACTAACATAAAAATCAAAACTTAAAAATTAAAGTACAGTCAAACCTCGGAAAACCGATACCGCTAAAAACCGATACCTCGCAAAACCGATACTTTTTTCAATTCCCGTGCAATTTATATATGATAAA